CAGTTCCAACCATATTGCTGCAAATGATAGGATTTCATTCTTTTTTATGGCTGAATAATATTCCACATTTTCTTTATCCATTCATGCATTGATGAGCATTTGGTTGATTCCATATCTTGGCTGTTGTGCTGCAACAAACATGGGAGGGCAGATAGTTCTTCAGCACACTGATATCTTGCAGATATATACCCAGCAGTGGTGTTGCTGGAGGCTATGGTAGTTGTTTTTTAGTTTTTTGAGGAACCTCCATACTGTTTTCCGCACTAATTTACATTTCCATCACAGCGTACAAGCGTCCCCTTTCTCGGCATCCTCGCCAGCGTTTGCTATTTCCTGCCTTTTTGATAATAGCCATTTTAACTGGGGCAAGATGATATCTCACTGTGGTTTTTACTGGCATTTCCCTAATGATTACAGATATTGGGTATTTTTTTTTAATACACCTGTTGTCCATCTGTATGTCTTCTTTTGAGAAATGTCTTTTCAGATCTTTTGCCCATTTTTAAATCGGATTGTTTGGGTTCTGGGTTTTTTGTGTTTTTTTTTCTGTTTGCTTGCTTTTCCTATTGAGTTGTTTGAATTCCTTATATATTCTGGTTATAAATCCCTATGAGGTGAATAGTTTGCAAACATTTTCTCCCACTTTGTAGGTTGTCTCTTCACTTTGCTGATTGCTTCCTTTGCTGTGCAGAGGCTTTTTAGTTTGATGTAAACCCATTTGTTAATTTTTGCTTTGGTTGCCTGTGTTTTTGAGGTCTTACTCAAAAAAAAAAAAAAATCTCTGCCCAGACCAACATCCTTAAGCATTTCCCCAATGTTTTCTTCTAGTAGTTTCATGGTTTCAGGTCTTTCATTTAAGTCTTTAATCCATTTTGATTTGATTTTTCTGCAGTCCCCAACCCCCCCCCACATGGCCTGTTAGGAACTGGGCCGCACAGCAGGAGGTGAGCTGCGGGCCAGCAAGTGAAGCCTCATCTGTGTTTACAGCCACTTCCCATCGCTCACATCACCGCCTGAGCTCCACCTCCCACCCCACCCCTCCCAATCTCTGGAAGAATTGTCTTTCATGAAACCAGTCCCTGGTGCTAAAAAGGTTGGGAACCGCTGTTCTACACTGTAAGAGGTAGGGGTCTAGTTTCATTGTTCTGCATGTGGGTATCCTGTTCTCTGAGCACTATCCATCAAAGAGACTATCCTTTCCCCAGTGTATGTTCTTGGCACCTAAGAAGCCAATCTTAAAATACTACATACCGTATGATTCCAACTATATGACATTCTGGGAAAAACAAAACCATGGAGGCAATTAAAAGCTAAGTTGTTGCCAGGGACTGGGGGAGGAAAGGATGGACGGGCAGAGCATGGAGGATTTTTAGGGCAGTGAAACTACTATGTATGATACTCTAATGGTGGATACATGTCTATGCACTTTTGTTCAAACCCATAGAACGTACAATACCAAGAGTGAACCCTGATGTAAACTATGGACTTGGGGTGATAGTGTTGTGTCGTTGTAGGTTCATCAGTTGTAACAAATGCCCTGCTCTGGTGCAGAATGCTGTTAATGGAGGAGGCTGTGCATGGGGGGGAGGGGGGGTGCAGGGCGTATGGGGAAATCTGCACCTTCTGTTCCATGTTGCTGTGAAACTATAACTGCTCTAAAAAATAAAGTCTGTTTTTTTTAAGTGGGGTGATGCTGGGTGGAGGGGTCATTTGTCCTATAGGATGTCTCACATATTAGAGAATTGCTTCCTTATTCCTTTATCTACATATTTCCTGAAAACTGGTAAGTAGATCTAGAGTTCAAAATTTTTTATTGGAATACTTCATAGGTCGTTCCATATGTTTCTTATTGCATCACATAGAGAGGCACATAATTTCTGGTGTCCCAATTTTATAGGTGCTAAGATTAATCAGTGGGTCCTGGTGTTGTCAACCTAATCCATCCAGTATGAGTTTCCCCTTCGACCTTCCACCTTATGGATCCATTGAGCATCTTTGCCTAATTCCAATTTTTCATCAGAAGTTGAAAAACAGTGAGTTCTTAATTCTACCATTCATTCTGAGTTGAATCATTGGAATTTTTTAATTTAAAAAAACTTTTTTTATCAACTCTCTGTGGTTACCTGGAATATACTCTCTGCACTGTGGCTTATTCAACAGTCACCTCTGGTGGACATTTCTGGTATGTTTGTAATCTTTCGCTATTGCAAATGGTTGCCATGAATTGTTTGTGTGCATACAATTTTTGGAATTTTCCCAGCATATCTTTGGGATAGATTCCTAGATGTAGAATTGCTAAGCCAAAGGGCATGTATGTGTGTGTAATTTGCTAGATGTTATCAAATCCCTTCCATCGGGGTAAAAGTGAATTACAACTATGCAAAAATGAGGAGTAAGACACAAAGCCTTCATTCCAACTACCAGCAAAGTGGGGTCATCAGGTCAGCCTCCGCGTAGTTCTACCCAAGACAGGCCTGGACTGAATCCAGATCTCACAAGAGAACACCAGGGCCCCGGGAGTCTTGGAAGGAGTCATAAAATTCCACTTACTTTATCTTGGCTAGAATAATGTCAGTTTAAGGAGGTAGCCCTGCTCTTCTCGGGCTAAGCAGAAGCTCTGGGTGGTCCTTTTCTGTATCCTTTGATTGATAAGACTCTTAAAAAATAATTATTGCTTTATATGTTTGATTTGGCAGAAAAATGTTTCCAGGCCTGGATCTTATCAGGGGAGTTACAGCAGGTGCTCATCAAGTGCAAGTTCTCATTAAGTTCTTTGGTTTATCTGACCCTACTGGTCTTTCTTTACAAATGGAAAGAAAATTGATGTGGTCAGGATGCATTCAGTCTCTTATTCATTCAGCCAACGTGAAAGGTGAACGCCCTCCCAGGCACTCTCCGCTCCCACCTCTAGGCCAGAAATAACCCCCCGCACTGCCCACAGGCTGAATCCAGCCCGCAGGTACTCGGGGGTGGCCCGCACCATGTTTCTCGGAGAAACAAACTCATTCGCTGCCAAACTTTAAAGATCAGGAATTTCACATAAATATCCAGACTTCTCACTTTTTATGATTTTTAGATAGACAGATATAAGGCTTTTGTCTACAGTCCCTTGTTCATAACTCCTATGGCCCTTGTCACAGTCTTTTGCTGTAATGTTGGGGAGCGTTAGGCCTCAGGAACAGGCCTGAGAAAAGAGCATTTCTCCCCCTGACCAGCTTCTCCTGCCCTCCTGTCACCCGTGCCCTTTTCTCCCCAAGGCAGGCCTTAGAAACTAAAAACATACTCTAATTTTTCCCCACCTTTCCCCACTTCTGGCCGTGACAGAATTCTCTAATCTACCATGTCTGATTGGAAGTCATAAAACTCCCATTTCAAAAGAGATCCTGCTCATCCCCTGGAGGAAGGAATGCTGCACAGAGAGGCCGAGAAGAATCTGGACAGGCCACACTGGGTTTCCCACCTGGGTCTGTTAGCATCAGCTCGTACACTTCTTGTCCAGCCATGTTGTTCTACGGGGTTGTCAATGCCTCAGTCGTGTCTATGAGGTTTCCTTAAAAGGCCCAAGAGGATGGAGTAGGGGGTGAGGTGGGGGGGCAGTGAGGGTTCCTGGAGGGTGGCCACCTGGCCAGGGCATGGAAGCTCCGTACCCCTCCCCCATACCTCTCTCTGCCGTCTCTTCGCCCCATCCTTTGCAATGTCCTGTATAGTGAACAGGTAAATGTGTTCCCCTGAGTCAAGTGAGCCACTCTGGCAAATTAATCAAACCCAAAGATGGAGTTGCGGGATCTTCAACTTGTAGCCGGTCGGTCAGAAACGCAGGTAAAACAAGCTGGGGCTTGCGATTGGCATGGGAAGTGGGGGACAGTCTTATGGAAATGAGCCCTCAACCCAAGGGATCTGACGCTGTCTCCAGGTGGGTGGCATCAGAATTGTACTGGGGGACACCCAGCTGGCATCTGCTGCAGAACTGATCGCTAGCTGGTTCTCCTTGGTGGGGAGAAAACCCGCACACATCTGGCGTCAGAAGCTTATTGTGAGAGTACGCTAGGAGGAACACAGTTTGAGTTTTCTCCGCTTCTCTTGAAAACTTGGCCAACCTGGCGTCACGGCCTGCCTTGCAGCATGGCGCCCGCCGGCGGAGCAGAGAAGAGGCCGTGCCCCTGCCGTGGGGCGGTACTGCCCCTGCCTACGAGGCCCACCCAGCACTGCCACTCATGTCCTTCGCTTCCTGGGCCTTGAGTGCCTGACCCCGGCCCCAGAATGCAAGGTCCCTAAAGGCAAGGGCTGCTCTGTCTTGCTCAACTTTGATCTCGCAGCATCTAGCCCAGTCCCTAGAGCACAGTGGGGCTTCAATAGATGCTTATTGCATGAAAACAGTATCTCTCGGACGCGTACATCACATTTCTTCCAGCATTAATATTGTACAGTTGTCATACTGCTGAGCCTAGATCCTTGAAGCAGATGGGCACTGGACGTGCCTGCGCTGTGCCAACCCACCGCCCACTCCACTCCTATGTCAGTGGGCGGCTCCCAACGTTTGCACTCTGCGGTTTGACACCTCTTCCTCCTAGCCATCTCCTCTCCAGTGAGGAGGGCAATGCACACCCCGCAGGGTTGCTGAGAAGACTGTCTGAGACCATGGTTGTCAAACATGGCATTTATTTTTATCACACTATTTGCAGTGCCTTTATTTCCAAGATGGCAAGAGTCTACCGCTCTTTGTTAGCCCCTATGGTTTGGTTTGGTTTTTGTCAGCCAAGCCCCAAGGTAGAGATTACAATAGAAATCTCCGTTTTCTGAGAATTTTCTGGCTCTCCTCTGCACATTCATGGGGGTAAAGATCTTATCAGGAAAGTTTGTATTTCTTAACATGTCCAAGTAGTGGCCCTTAAGGGGATGATTAGGGCAGATCTGAGCATATTTAAAATGAGCAACCCTTGACAGCCGCTGCATACTCAGAACTTTCTCTTTCCTGAGTTCTGTAAACCCAGGAAGGAAGCATGAAGTGGCTTGGGGTCCTAGGGCTGGTAGCCCTCTCGGAATGCTTGGTCAGGTAAGCTATGGGACAAGTGGCATCAGCTCTCTTTCTGGACACTTTCCTGCTCTCTTACTCTCACCCTTATTCTCCTTCCAATACAGGAGTGAAGAAGGAAATTAATCATTCTCTGACTCTCATTAAGTTCAAGTGTCCACTTATTGATGAGGAGTTTGCCATGTGCGCTGTAGGACCCAGGGGTCTCGGGGTAGGCCCGAGGGCTTGCACAACTCCAGGGGCACCAGTCACATCATAAGCTATGTGAATGGCACTCCCCAGAATTGTTCAGTGCACAACCTGTGCAGCTGTAGATGTAGCCAGGAATAGTGTGTCTTCTGCATAATTTTCTTAGCCTTCTTTCTGCTCTCTCCCCTCTCTGTTTCCTTGCGTATGTGTCTCTGTGACTATATCTCTATCTCCGCATCTCTCTCCTTTATTGGTCTCTTTTGGTGTCTCTGTGTATGCAGAACTTTCTTTCTTTCTTTCTTTCTTTCTTTCTTTCTTTCTTTCTTTCTTTCTTTCTTTCTTTCTTTCTTTCTTTCTTTCTTTCTTTCTTTCTTTCTCTTACTCTGCTGCCCGGACTAGAGTGCCGTGGCTTCAGCCTAGCTCACAGCAACCTCCGCAACTCCTGGGCTCAAGCGATCCTCCTGCCTCAGCCTCCTGAGTAGCTGGGACTACAGGCATGCGCCACCATGCCCGGCTACTTTTTCCTATATATCTTTAGTTGGCCAATTAATTTCTTTCTATTTTTAGTAGAGATGGGGTCTCACTCTTGCTCAGGCTGGTTTTGAACTCTTGACCTTGAGTGATCCTCCCACCTCAGCCTCCCGAGTGCTAGGATTGCAGGCACGCCAGCCTCTGTTTCAACTCATTCTTGTTTCTCTACCCTCTTCATTTACCTGATTTATTCTGCACCTCAGCATCCTTGAGTTTTCTCATGTCCTGGCGTCCTCTCTCAGCCCTCTCTTCTGGTTGAACCCTGGAGAGATCAGGAGGGCTACATCTAAGCCCAGCTTTGCCACTGATGAGCAGTGTGACCACGGCCAAAGTCACAACCTACCTGCATTTCATATTCCTCACCTGTAACAAAAGGATCCCCACTGTACCTCCCTCCCAGGGCTGCTTTGAGAAAGATGCATTGAGATGGCAAAAGCAATGGTAATGGCTGTCACCGTCGAGACCTACTGTAGGGCAGGTGCATCGTGCCCACCATCTCACTTAACATCTCCAAACATTCTATGTGAGTGGGATATTATCATTCCGCCTTTTTTACAGGTAGAGAAACTGAGGCTCAAAAAGTCATATGACTTGCCCAAGGTTATACAACAAAACCTGGATTCAAACCTAGAGTCACTGCCATCATCTTTCCATTGTGTCGGATGGCCTGTCCTGATAATAAGATAGGCACTCGTTAAAATGCTCGGAAAAGGCAAGGCACAATTATAAAGCAGGGTGTGACAGTCACATTGTAGCAAGGGGCAGCCTACTGGGTCTCTTACTTGTTTCCCTTCCCAATGCTCTGTTAAAGAATCCCCCTGGTGAAGATCAAATCCATTCGAGAAACCCTCCGGGAAAAGAACATGCTGAGAGATTACCTTGAGAAGTATCCTTACAACCCCGACAGGTTTCTTAATGCATATTATCAGCCCCCGCAAGTGAATCGTGAGCCTCTGAGGAACCACCTAGATGTGAGTATGCGGGTAGGATGGAGCTCCAGAGCGCCCCCTAGGGGTCCTGCCGGGCACCTGGGCTCAGCTGGGGGTGTGAGCCAGCAGGTTAGGGCTGGGGCTCCTGCAGGCAGAAACAGTGGGGACAGGGACCCATGCCCAGAGAAGAAGGCACTCCTGCCCTCTGTTGTTGGTTTGCAGTGATTAGGCCCAGCAATGACCAGATGCCAGATAAACGTCCATTTCTGTGCCAACGATATGTCACTGGGCACCTGTGAGCCACAGTGGTGCGCGCTTTGGGGTCTTTTTGCTCCGTCTGAACTAAATGAATCACTAAGCTAACAGAGCCACATTGAAGGGTGAGCCGTGTCTGAACAAATGACAACAAAGCCAAGTGCAAACCCAGTTTGATGCCCTGGCTAAAGAAGTTCAGCCTCTTCAGCCCCAAGAATCACAGCAACAGAAGCTACTGAGCCGTATGGTGTGGTAGGCTATGACACACTAACAATATGGTCACTGTTCCTGATAACCAAAGGCTCCTCTCGTCTTCAAAAACCTATAGCCCAGCCAGAGAAACAGGCAAAGAGTAAATGAACATCAAATAAAAGGGCCAACTGTGTGGTTTTGAGATTATGTGATTTGAGTTTGGAGCACAGTAGCCTTGGTGACTTTAGGAGGGCTGCCTGGAGGAAGAGGCTGGGCCTTCCAGGGTAGAAAGGATTTGGAGAGCTGCAGGGAAGGCAGCTTCTCAAGTGAAGGCATTGGCTTGAGCAGGGGTTAGGAGGTAGAGCAGTTGGAAAGCGATTTCAGGATGCATGGGGACACCCAGTGAAGGCAAGCCCCCTGGGAAACAGGCCTGCCCTAACCACCCCTGCCTGGCCCTGGCAGATGGCCTATGTTGGCGTCATCACCATTGGAACACCCCCTCAGGAGTTCAAGGTCGTCTTTGACACAGGCTCTGCTGACTTGTGGGTGCCCTCCATCTATTGCAACTCCATCGCCTGCAGTGAGTGTCCCCTGCCCCTCCATCTCGTCCCTCCCACCCCCTCCATCCTCGGCACCTGGTGGACACCCACTGCTTGTGTCTGCAGGTGGCCGCAATATCTTCAAGCCGCAGCTATCCTCCACGTTCGTGGACTCGAAATGGCGCATGAAACTTCGCTATGGCTTTGGGCAGATGTCCGGACGTGTTGGCTACGACACCATTCGGGTAACATGGGGACCAGAGGTGGAGGCAGGGCTGGCCCTAGGTGTGACCACCCCCCCTCAGTCCAGATGCAGCAGGGAGTACCTGTCTTTCCCCGAAGTCCGCCATCGGCCGGCCACCTGCCCTGTGGGGCCGTGCCCCCGGGGAGGCAGTGCCCCTGCTGGCACGAAGCTGACCCCAGACAGCGGGACCATCCACTGGAGGCGCCCGAGTGGAGGAGGCGCAGATTGCAGCTTCCTTCCCCACAGTTAGCGCGAGGCTGGCTTTGCTGGGAGCAGGGGCAGAGGTGGGCAGAAATCACCCGGGCATGTTCTCACGCTGTGTCAGGCACTGTGCCGCCACCTCCATTGCAGTTACTTGTTTCAACCCCCAACCACCCCACGTGGCAGGCACTACAGACACCTCCGTCTTACAGAGGAGGGGACAGGGAGAGCAGGAAGGAAGGGTCTTCACCAAGGTCACACAACTGGCAAGTGGCAGAGTTGGGGCGGGAATCAGGACCCACGCAGGTATGGGGCCCCAGTCTGTGGCCTCTGGCCCAGGCAGGGAAAGGAGGTGGCTACAGGTTCAGAAAGGCCCTGCCTAATAATAGCTTCTTACCCTCGCAGGCCTTTGAGAGTCTAAGAAAACTGGGGACTCCCTCCCCCACAGTGCCTAAGCATACACAGAAACACACCCACACACCCACACACACCCACCCACACACACACACACACACACACACACACACACACTCAGTTTCCCAGGCAGAACTTTCAGCAGAACCCTGGTGGCGACATGATGTCATGGGCAACAGTTTCCCCAGTGAGTGCAAAAAAGACCACCTTTGGAGTGCCTCCATTCCTGTCATCAAATCCTGGTGACCACAAAGAAGTGATGACCTTACTCTCTCTAATAGGAACCATTTGGTCACACTCAGAGTCTCAGTTTCCCCGCCTGGGAAAGGGGGATAAGGCCTATTAGACTGAGTCCAGGTGGGATGAGGGCGGGCAGGTGTTGTCGGAATCTGCGGCGTGGCCCCACGGAACCCACACTCTTGTCCTTGCCGGTCACGGTCATCTGAGGGGCAGCCCCTGGCACAGCCGCCTCGGGGACTGTGGTGCTGGTGGCATCTCCTCGCCTGCTCCCCCAGCCCAGCCCAGCCCTGCCCCAAACGTGTACACAGGCACACCCTCCTCTCCCACAGATCGCGGACCTTGAGGCCAAAAACCAGGGGTTTGGCCTGACCCGCAAGCTGAGTGGCGATTTAATGGAATTTTCAGTCTTTGATGGCATCTTGGGCCTGGGGTTCCCTAGCCTTGCCACCAAAGAAACCATGCCTGTCTTCGACAACATGTGGGAACAAGGCCTCCTTGCTGAGAAAGTCTTTGCCTTCTACTTGAGCAGGTAAGTGTGAGCTAGACGAGCCCTTTCTTCAACTCAGCTCTAAGACACTGTCGGTTGCATGAAAATTATGGAGAATCTGACCCAGAAGTTTCCTTAAAGATAGTCTAGGCCAAATATGGCCCATCACCCATTTTTCTTTTTTTTTCTTTTTTTCTTTTTTTTTTTTTTTAGAGTCTCGCTTTGTTGCCTAGGCTAGAGTGAGTGCCGTGGCGTCAGCCTAGCTCACAGCAACCTCAATCTCCTGGCTCAAGCAATCCTTCTGCCTCAGCCTCCCGAGTAGCTGGGACTACAGGCATGCGCCACCATGCCCAGCTAATTTTTTTTATATATATATATATTAGTTGGCCAATTAATTTCTTTCTATTTTTATAGTAGAGGCGGGGTCTCGCTCTTGTTCAGGCTGGTTTCGAACTCCTGACCTCGAGCAATCCGCCCGCCTCGGCCTCCCAGAGAGCTAGGATTACAGGCGTGAGCCACCACGCCCGGCCTCATCACCCATTTTTAAAAGTAAAGTTTTATTGGAATACAACCATGTTCACTCCTTTACGTGTTGTCTGTGGTTACTTTTGCAAACAGCAGCAGCGTTGAGCAGTGCAATAGAGACTGTGCAGCCCACAAAGCCCAAGATATTGACAATCCAGCCCTTTACAGAAAAAGTTTGCTGACCCCTGTTGTCCAGTCCTGCCATTCAATGGACGAGGAAACAGGCTCTGAGAGGGGTTTGCACAAGGTTTCCCAGATGGGTATTGGTAGTGGCAGGACCCGAACTCAGCCCTCAGGGCTCTGCCTCACGGCAGGTGGTCAATCCATCAGCAAATCTCCTGTCACTGGGCTCAGTAAAGAAAAGCTGCAGTCCCCTGACTGCCTTAGGGTCTGGTAGAGGGTGGGGGAGAAGGGTGGAGCACAGACAAGAGGAGGACCTGTGGACAGACTGTGTCTTCCCCACAGAGGCAGTGATTGGCCCCACAGAGCCATGCAGGTGGCGGGAGAGTGTGGTGGTTGAGGCTGTAGCTCCAGAGGACCTGGGTTCAAAGCGAGGCTCCATACCCTGACCGTTAGCAGGTTATTTGAACTCACTAAGCCTCAGGAAGCCTTGTACCCAGTCAAAGGAGGTAACTGGGCACCTACTATGTGCTGGTACTGCTCTGCAAACGGGAAGCAGACAGGCAAGGGAGAAGGCATACACGAAATAAGTAAATAAATAAAGGAAAAAGACAACTCCAGACAGTAATTGATTGTGTGAAAGCAATAAATCAGGCTGATAGAACAGGCAGGGGTGAGGGCGGGTTCTGAGCGGGGCGGCGGGGAGAGGGCACTCTGAGGGGGACCTCTGCTGTGGGAAGAGCCAGGTTTGAGACTCGGAGAGCCAGGCAGATGCAGGGAAGCGGAGTGCAGAGCCCAGAGGGGAATCGTGCGCGTGTGCAGAGGGGCAGCACGGACCCACCAGGGCCCCGGCGTGGGTGGAGCCCTGCAGGGGAGGCAGGGATGATGCTGCCCTGGGGCTTGTCCTAAGCAGGAGCAGAGACCTCTGGCAGGGGCTGAGCGGGGACGAGACATGATCTGACTTCCGCTTTTGAAAGCTTACCCTGGGAGCCGGCTGGAGGGTGACTGGACGGAGTGGAGGCCGGGGAAGAGAAAGGGTGGCAGCCGGACCCAGGGGAGAGGAAGGGCCACGGGGAGGCAGGCTGGGGCTGCAGGGAGAGACAACAGGATTTGCTGGTGGATTCCACGGGAGAGGAGAGGGGTCTGAAGGGATGTTCCTCCCACACTAAGATTTGACCATGAGCCCAGGAGCAGCTACATAATTTGCAAATGAAAATGTGGGGACCCTTGTTCAAAAAGTATTAAGAATTTGAAAACAGCAACAGCAGAGGTACAGGGCCCTTCTAAGCACAGGGCCTTGTGGATGGCACAGGTCACAGGCCCATGAAGCCAGGCCTGTGTGAGCCTGAACACACGGCCCCCAGTCCCCCTTGGGCCTCAGTTTTTCTGGAAAACGACAGGCTGCACAAGGTGGAGGTCAGACGTCCCTCGCCATGGGTCCTCCAACTGCATCTCAGAGTCGCTCTGATTGCGGGAGGGGACCTGGCCCTTCTCAGAAGAGTGGGGCGGTTGGAGCCCAGCTCAGAAGCCAGACTGTCTGGGTTCAAACGCAGTTTTGCTGCCCACTAGCCGTGTGATCAGCCCTAGCCAGGTATTCATCCCCTCTTTGCCTCAACTTCGCCATCCATAAAATGGAGATTATAGTAGCGCCTGCTCCCTAGGCTGTGTGTGTGCGGATTGGGTGAGCAACGATAGCAAACCCCTAGGCAGCTCCTGGTGTGTCGCCGAGCCTGAAGAATGCTACCCAGTATTCATGGCAATGAGCCCTTCCTCTTCTTCCCACTCCAGCAGGAAAGAGACAGGCAGCGTGCTGATGCTTGGTGGGGTGGACCCCACCTACTACAGTGGGAAGCTTCACTGGGTGCCAGTGTCCCAACCCTCCTACTGGCAGGTAGACATGGACAGGTAAGCCCCTGCCTCTGATTCCTGCCCCGAGTGATGCCACATACTCCCCCCCACATGCACACACACGTGTATACACACATGCATGCACTCACACACGTGCGCACACACATGCATGCACACACGCGCACGCATGCACAAACATGTGCACAGGCACACAAACACACATGCATGCACAAACACGTGCACAGGCACACAAACACACATGCACACACGCGCATGCATGCACAAACACGTGCACAGGCACACAAACACACATGCACACACAGCCACACAGTCACAGACACATACAAACTCATGCAGTCACAAGACACGCACACACACAGCACACCACACACAGAAACAGCCACGCAGACACCTGCACATACAGCACACCTGTGGTTCCCAATCCCCCCAGGCCTCCTGACCAGGGTCCTGATGAGAGAAGACAGATCGGGCCTGAGTCTTGGGCACTGAGAGAAGGAGCGGGGCAGCCCCCAGGGCTGGAAGCTGGGATCCCTGGAGGAGGCCGTGCAGTATAGGGGGCCTGGAGGGCTGTGGTGAGGGCAGGAAGGGTGGTCTGAGGACCCGAAAGTGCAGAGCAAAGCGGATCAGGGAGAAACCCAGTGGGCCAAATAGAGGCATGGTAAGTGACCAAGTGTCCTGGTTTACCTGGGACTGAGGGGGCTTGCAGTGTGCAGGACTTTCAGTCTGAAAACAGAGGAAGTCCCAGGCACACCCGGAAGGTTGGTCACCCCAGGGAGAAGATACCCAGCAATGGAGAGAGGTGTGCCTCATTCTCAAGCCAAAAGAGAATCACACAAAAGGACAGTCCCCACCCAACCCCCATCCTCAGCATACTGTGGGGGCAGGGACTGTGACAGAGAATCGGGAACCTGGGGGTCCTGGAATGCCAGGGAACACAGGGACAGTAGCCAACTGGATTCTGTGTGCTGCCACTGGCAAACGCTTACAATGTCCTCTGGAGGCATCTGAAGCCCCCGGGCTGCCTTGGGCATTGCCCGGGCCAAGGCCCTCAGCATGCGAGCTGGGACTCCCGGGGTCAACCTCTTCCGGAGCAGCCTGCGGCCCCTTCCCACCACTCTGGGTTTCTGCGGCCTGAGAAGGCCTCCTGCCTCACCCTGGGGCCCCGCGACGGATCAGACGCCGGATACAGGTCTCCAGTTTCCCTCGTTCATTCATTCAACAAACACAGGTTGCGCATCCACTGTGCCCGGGCACCTGCCTGAGTGGAAGCACTGAGCTGCTCTTACAGTCCTCACTGTCCAGCGGGGCAGTGTGTGTGAGCCAGTGAGTCACAGAAGGACGAATTCCCGCTTCGGTACCTGCTAGAAATGAGCAAGAGGATGATGAGGGTGGCGAAGAGAGGAGCCGGATCTACTTTCCTGGAAAAGTGACAATTAAGCCAGAAGCTAGAGATGAGCAGAAATTATCCAGACAGAGGGGGTGAGGGCAGCTCTAGAAAGGGAGGCCAGCATGTGCAAAGGCCCTGAGGCAAGAAACAGGTTGGAGCATTCCAGAACCGCAAGGAAGTCACAGAAGGTCAGCGTGCCCGGTGCAAAGGGAAGCGGAGAGTGGGGACACGAGCTGAAGGGCTGTTGTGGGGACAGCCAGGGAGGGGCGGGATGGGGGGAGGCTGTAGAGTGACCCTGGTGTCTGCTTTGCCCCGACCCAGAATCACCATGAATGGGACAGTTATTGCCTGTAGTAACGGCTGCCAGGCCATTTTTGATACCGGGAACTCCATGATGACCGGCCCGAGCAACTCGGTCGCCTACATCCAGCACATGATCAGAGCCACGGCTACCTTCGGAGACGAGGTAAGGGGTCGTGCCAGAGTCGCCGGGGCCTCCACGCACTGGCGGACCACGCGGGCCAGCCTTCTCTCCTCTCTCTCCGACAGTACCTTGTCCACTGTGACACCATCAACACCCTGTCTGACATCGTCTTCGTCATCAGCGGCTTCGACTTCCCGGTGCCAGCCAGTGCCTACACCCAGGAGGTGAGGTGCCCAGCCCCAGGCGGGTCCTCACATCCCTGGACTCGCGGGAGCGGCTGGGCTGCGGGAGGAATAGGCCCCCTGGAGGCCAAGTGGAGCCATTGCAGGCCCTGCCGACCCCACGGCAACCGCCTGCGACAGACGCTGAGCAGTGTCACCCCCTGCTGGCACAGTGCTAGGAACAGAGTGGGAGGGACAGCAAGGGCATCTGCCCCAAGGAGCTTCGGTTCAACAGGACACTCCAGAGGCCGAACAGGGGAAGTCAGCTACAGCAATGCTCGAAATGTGCCGAAGGAATGGTGACAGACAGGGTTGGCTGGGGACAGTCCGGGCCACAGCTTCACCTTGCTCAGCCCCAGTTCCCTCCTCTGCAAAGTAGGGTAGCAGCCGCTCCCTCTGTGGGGTGCTTAGGGGGTTGGCAGGAAGGACACGGGGGGACCACACAGCACCTGGCACGTATTCGAGGCCCACGGGAGTCAGGGAGGCTGAATGGGTTAGAAGAAAGCTGTGAGGAGAGAGGGAACTTAAACAACCCTAAGCTCCAGCCTCGCGGAGGTAGGAAGAGGCCTGCTTGGCTTAGAGGCAGGTCCACACCGGGCTGCACTCACATGGCACCCCGGGGAGCTGGCAGCCCGGGGCAGATGAGGTGGCAGACTGGGTGACCCCGCGTGGTCGGCGGCTCGGGGCGCAGCTGGGACCAAGGGGGACCCCCGAGGGAAGTCGCCTGCCCCAGCCTGCAGTGGCTGAGGAGGCCAAGCCTGGGTCGGGCAAGGCTGCCCTGGGGTGGGCTGGGGTGCTGGAGCTCAGCATTTAAGAGTGAGGGGCGGGCCGGGCGCGGTGGCTCACGCCTGTAATCCTAGCACTCTGGGAGGCCGAGGCGGGCGGATTGCTCAAGGTCAGGAGTTCAAAACCAGCCTGAGCGAGACCCCGTCTCTACCATAAAAATAGAAAGAAATTAATTGGCCAACTAATATATATATATAAAAATCAGCCGGGCATGGTGGCTCGTGCCTGTAGTCCCAGCTACTTGGGAGGCTGAGGCAGGAGGATCGCTTGAGCCCAGGAGATTGAGGTTGCTGTGAGCTAGGCTGACGCCACGGCACTCACTCTAGCCTGGGCAACAAAGTGAGACTCTGTCTCAAAAAAAAAAAAAAAAAAAAAGAAAGAGTGAGGGGCGAAGAGGAGACGGAAAGTCATTCTCGCAGCGGGAACAGCGCATGCGCAGGTCAGAGGGCGAGGCACGGCCGAGTGTGTGGGAAAACTCAGCGGGGCTGGTCCTGGGTGGGCAGCTGCTCCTCCCGCCTCGGGAGAGAGCCTCTGGGCCCCTGGCAGAGGAGGGACACCGAGCTGGGAAGCCACCAGGACCGACACGGAAGGGGCGCAGGCTGCGCGTGTCTCCGTGGTCTCTCCAGGAACATTCGGGCCTCTGCTACAGCAACTTCGAGAGTTACCACAGCGACTCTCCGCTGGCAAACACCTGGATCCTGGGAGACGCCTTCCTGCGGGTGTATTTCAGCGTTTTCGATCGAGCCAACAACATGATTGGCCTGGCTCCTGCGGCATCTTCTCTGTAACTTCTCCAGAAAGCAGCCAGGCCCGCCCCAAACACAAACTCCAACTCTCCTCCGGGGCTTCTCGCCCGGGGCAGCTGACTTGAACTGTGTGTGGGGTTCTGCAAAGCCCCAATCTCAGTGGAGAATAAAAGATTTTATTTTCAGTGGTGCTAACAGTCATGGGCTGCTTGGGCCGGGAAGGGACATCGCAAGGAAGCGGGATCCAGCGGGATCCAGGATCAAGTCCAGACCACAAGGGAGAGGAGCCCGACCCCGCTGGCTGGAAGGAAAAGGGAGGCTCATGGGGCAGGATTCTGGGGCAGTTGCAAGAACCAGACCAGGTCCAGAGATCTCGGTGACTGGACCCAAGAAATCACAAGCCATCCACTCACTGCTTACCGCCCTCCTTTCCTTGTTACATCTCCGGTTCTCTTCGCCTGACAGCTTTCTTTTCCCGGGCTTCTGCCCAAGGTGGAAGACTTTGCCGCTGCCGCTGCCCCTGCCCCAGGGCTTTGCGTCCTTAGGGCATCTAACCAGAAAGAAGCTCATAGAACACCAGGGCACCGGGGAGGACTCTGATTGGCTCCCCTCAGGTCATGTGTTCAGCCCTGGACTGAGCATCGTGGCCAGGGAAGGGGGTACTATGATTGGCTCTGCTTGGTCAGGTGGCCTGGCCTGGGGCCTGGAGGTGTTGACAGCTTCCTCTAGTACCGCGTGGCTGGAGCTAGGGAGGAGCAGGCCCCAAAAGAAGTGGCAGAGGGGTGCTGTAGACAGGTGGAAGAGTCTGTGACTGCCCCACCCACGTTTGTCCTTTATGCAGAAGGACGGTAAAGGATAATTAAAAACAGATTCTCTTCTTCCCATCTTCAAAGGGCCTTTGACAGTGGCCTTCTGCTCAAGGTGGGCTCTGGGTAAGGCCCTTCACATGGGGGTGGGTCCACCCTGGCTCCCCACAAAGCAGGCACAGGACCTGCAGCTGCAATGTCCATTCCAGTCCTACTTTTCACAGGGACTCTTTAGCCATTCCCAGCCCACAAACACCCAGCACGGCGCTTCCTTTGGCCTCACAGACTGTCTTGGGGAGGGGGTCTCTTGCATAGAAGGTCACCAGGGGAGACAAAGCCCCCACCTTCCAGAGCATGGCATAGTGCGCTTCCACCAGGCACAGCCACGAAACCACTTGGTTTGAGCTGCCACTGTTTGGGAAGTTTGGGGTGGGGACATTGCTTCCTCCCACTTGGAGACCCCAGGCAGAGGCCCAAGATAAAGGCAGCAGGGGTCAAAGGCAGAGGGAGGGAATCCCAGCTGGAAGAAGGAGCAGAAAGAATAAATAAAACAGAAAGTAACGCCCATCTCAATGCACGGTAATACTCTTTACTCTGGTGGGACCAACGTCAGCAAAAGTGATGCTCTGTCTTTCTTCCTTCATCACCCTGTCATCCAGCACATATTTGCTGAGCACCCTCTATGTGCCAGGTACTGCAGTGGACCCCTGGGGTAGAGGGCTGGCCATTGTGTCACGAGGACAGAAAAGGAGACAAATTCTAACTCTCCACACCGAGGGCCTGATGGGGAACCACAGAGGTGTCAGGAGGCCACCAAACGAGCCAGGCGCTGTCTTCAGGGAGCCAGGAAAAGGTTTCCAGGAAGGGTGACATTGAGCTCAATCTGGAATGACACTCAGGAATTTCCCAGCTCTGGAGGAGGAAGGCCAACCCAGGCCACAGAGGCAGTGTGTGCAAAGACACCAGGTCACAGAAGGACAACTTCCTGATTGCAAGGGACCCGCAAGCTAGAGAGGACCGTGAAGGGCCACCTGGTCTGATGTCCTACCTCTGTCAAGGCCATCCCACAAATGAAAGGGGGCCCTCCCTGTGACAGTCCCAGAGGTCATCTGTCCCTGGACCCCATTCCATAGCCCCCATCCCTCACGATTGAGATATCATCTTCATGGACTTCAATAAACTCCACCCCTAGGCAGGTCTGCCTTGGGAACATGCCTCCCAGGGTTCGCCCAAAGGCTAGCAGCCCCCTCTTGCCACCACACCCTAAAACACACCCCAGACCCCTGCAGTTGCTCCGTACGTGCAAATCCATTGTGTGTGCAGCGCTGTGTGGACTCCAGCCCTTTTGTACGGCATAGGGTTATGTATGGTGTAAGGGCGAGGACAGGGTGAGACCAGAGGGGTTTTGTTTTTAAACAAACGATAAATAAAAACTGAGCTTCATGGAGACTCAAGTTTGTAAAACTCATTTTCCAACTAGGTCTTCATGGAACCATATGCGACATCTCTCTTGGTCAGAAACCACCAATAAGAGTAAGAAAGCAGCCCCAGCTGATGTATTGAGGGCTCTCCACCCATCATTTCAGTGTCTCCCCGACTCCCTGCCAGGTGGTTATTGTTGTCCCCCCAGGTGAGGGAAGCCTCCCAGCTCTGTCTGGCTCCAGCACCTGGTGTCAGGCACACAGTAGTCCCTCTGGAAATACGTGTTGAATAAATGGATGAAGGCCAGGCGTGGTGACGCACGCATGTAATCCTGGCACTCTGGGAGGCTGAGGTGGGAGGATTGCTTGAGGCCAGGAGTTTAAGACCAGTCTGAGCAGGAGCGAGATCCCGTCTCTACAAAAAATTTAAAAACTAGCTGGACGTGCTGATGCACGCCAGTAGACCCAGCTACTCGGGTGACTGAGGCAGGAGGATCACTTGAGCCCAGGGGTTGGAAGTTGCAGTGAGCTCTGATGACACCACTGCACTCTAGCCCAGGCAGCAGAGCGAGACCCTGTCTCAAAAAATAAATAAGTATAAATAAATGAGTGAGTGAATGGTAAGTGCTCCCACGAGAGCACACTGCTGCCCCTCGGGCAGGAGACACATGTGTGTCAACGTGGCTTATTTCCATTAGATCAGCCACAAGAGGTCACGGTTTGCTCCCCTAAATGTGCCCGAGGCCTGGGCCAGAGCTAGTGTCTATGAATGAGCCAGGCCCCTTGGGTCCCTACATTTATGGCTCATGACACCAACGTGAGGATGAATTCTGATCTTCAAAGCAAAATCTGCCCCCTCCACTTTGATCCTTTACCTATTGCAGGCCAAACAGATTTATCGCCTTTGGTGACAGAGAATGTGGAGGAAAGAGCTCTTATCAAATCTAAACTTTTTCTCTCTAAAACCTTTTAGAATTGTGGGATCCTTGTGTTGTGTGGGACCTCAAGAAGAGAATTGGGTTCCATGATTCCCATTTCTGGTTTTGCGTCAGAGTCCCTCAGTTTGAGAGGCTTTTGTTCTTAATGCATGTTACCTGGGATTCATTCAGAGCTTCTGTAAAGAATCTCATTCTATTCTTCTTGTTATCTGTATGCTGTTTCCTAAGAAGGGAGAAGACACTGGAGAAAATGACGATAACGTCTATCAAGAGTTGTGCTAAGTGTCCTTAGTTCTACGTGATACCATTAGCCTGCAGCTATCACTTTGGTAACATGAAAAAAACATTAAAGCATATTAAGAAATAAAACACACATTTATTTGTTTTTTTAAAAAAGATGGCTGTTGAACACTTCTTGTAAGAGTATAAATTGGTACAATTTTTTTGGAGATTATTTTGTCCTTAAAATATGTATAGTCTTTGTCCCGGCAATTTTGCTGCCAAGATTTATGCCAAGGCAATGGTCAGAAATGCCCATGGACGTGAGTGAGCAAGGAGGTAATCCTCAGAGTCTCCCACACAAGGGAAAATCTGGCCCCTTCCAGTGTCTGTTAAATACAGAGTGTCTATAGCACAGGTAGAACTTCATGCTGCCCTCTTAAGTCATGTCTTAGGGGAATATTTAATGCCATGAGAAATACGATGTTAAGAGAAGCCAATGGAGTACAAGATGGCATGACCGCAGGCTTGCTACGCGCACAGAAGACGGGACGGCGCGGTGGCCAGGAGTGCAAGTCCCAGAGCATTTCTGACTTAGTTCTAACCCCAGCTCTGACAACAACAAGTCACACGACCTTGGAAAAGTTCACTTCTGGACATCTGTTTCCTGTTCTGTAAGTTTGGAATAAGAAGAATCCCTTCCAGTCAGGGCAAGAGTAGGAATGCTAACAAGAATGAAATTTTCTTTCTGGGGTATTGGAAATGTTCTGAAATTAAATCATGGTGTTAGTTGTACAATTCTGTGAATATAATAAAGACCACTGAACTGTACGTCTTAAATGGGAGAATGTGTGATATGTGAAATACATCTCAGTAAAGCTGTAAAATTATATTAATATAAACTAAAAAAAAAAAAATCCCAGGAAAGAATAGTCCCTTCCTTCTTGGGCTCTAGTGAAGACTAAATGATTTAATCACATAGACCCTTTAGAACAGCGCCAGTCACACAGTAGCATAAGCTGTTACTATTTCAAATATACATCAAAGACCAAAAGGTTAACAGTTAATCAAAAGATGTAACAGCCATTATCTCCAGAAGACAGCTCTATGGGCAATTTTTCCTCTCTTCTTACATTTTTCTTAGTTTTTTTTCAGTGATTGCTTTTAAGATCGGGGGAAAAGCTAAGCATTATTTTATAGAAGAAAGTGAAAGACCTCCAACAGAGAGAAGACCTTACCTTTGCTGGGGTGACCTGGGTTTCTGCTGGAGTGAAGTGTCTCCCAGGGAAAAAGGTCATCCGGGAGCAGAGAGTCAGTGGAGGACTGACACCTAGTGGCCGAGATGGATATTACACACACACGCACACACACACACACACACACACACACACACACACACACACACTCTGCATGTCTCCGACCTACCCACTAGTTCCATCTACTTGAACAGCTCTTTAGTGACATGAAACCACTGTCATATAAACTCTCCTACTTTTAGACCTGGGAATCTCACTTTGACAAATATACCCCAAATAAACAAACAGTATATTTATTATTATTAGCTGTAAATTATTTATTAGCTATAAAGATTCTCCCAGGGAATCAATTCATACCAGTGAAACTTGGAGACCAACCTATATTCCAACAGCAGGGAAGTT